TTTCACATCTTCCTTCAACATCATGTCGTCTCCGGTAAGGACATCATCAACATATCTAAAACTGCTTCAGGACGCATTTCAAGGAACGGGTATGAGAACTACCGAGTAACAGCAACCCAGTCTGCAGAGCAATTTCTGGTGAGGCTTCGTTCTGCGGCTTTGTAATAACTGGCCATGTCGACTTGAGCGTGTACAGGAGCAGACGAAGCCCATGTCGCAAATATGGTCTCTGGATTTCGGATACGGAGAAGAGCACCTCGGACGCCCGGGTATGAACCACCGAGAAAGACCCAGGGTGTCACGCTAGGGTGTACTGGGAGAGATAGAGGATCATCAATGGTGATATTTTGAGCGCTGGAAGAACTGAAGGAATCCGCAAAGAACACGACATCCTCGAGAGCTTGTTCAGTGGTGAGGTATTTCCATTCTGATGCAGTGGTGTTTTCCTGTTAATTTCGTCAGAGGTGTGACAGATATGGTTCACGTTAGGCCGACTTACATTAACCGGAAACGGTAGCGAGTCGCCGTAATATCGATGCTCCCACAGTATTGCTAGACCGCCATATCGCTTAGCCAGTCGCATTGTAGCCGAGAGGCCATGGTATTCCTATGACGGGATTAGTTCGAAAGCAGGTTTCCAGGCAATTGTAATTCAGTACTTGAAGGTAATATGGCAGCAGGGGAGCAGCGTCCTGCTCTCCGGAATCGAATACTGTTTTAGATCAGTGTTGATAAGGCGCACGCATCGGATCAGCGTACAGAAAACCGGGCCTCCGGGAGCATAGTAGGAAGCATTGACCCAGTAGCGATTGAGAAACGTAGATGAGTCGTCGCTCCCAAAGTGATCCAATGGAACCTGGGTGCTGTTAGAAATGGCCGGACAGACGAAAGATAACATAGCACCTCGATAAAACGGGCATTATTTTCGCTTAGTTCAATGTCAGGAGAAGCAAGCAGTTCCCTCCGGATCCAAGGTCGGTCGAGGACCTGGGAGAGCGAAATGGCCGCCAAGGACAGGGAGAACAGATGCAAGAGTCTGTACATGACAAGATTGAAATTCTTATCCTACGGCGTAGACCTGGGAAATGAGCGAAGCTCTTTCTCAGAGCGTGTTGGAGAATATTCCGATTCTGGCTCTGGTTTTTTTTACCTGTGAAATACGTACTAAAAAGACGATCGCACCAGATGAAGAAAGACGTCGTTCAATTATAGTATATCCGCACGCCGAAGGAGCATTTAGGGATGAATCTGGCAAAAGCACGTAACTCGTGCACATATTTAGTTGGCAAGTTGAAAAAAGAGAATTTCAAATTCTGTATCTGGAGGCCGGTCCGGTTACCGGGACTTCTTACACTCGCTCCTCAACAGCTTCGGATTCCAAACGAACATCTGCCAAATCGATGGAGGTTGCGCCGGTGTGAGTGTCATCCGGAATCATGATTTGTGGTTCTACCTCTCGAGTCTCGACTTGGAAAGGCTCTGAGTTTTTTTAAAAAGAAAAAAAAATTAACAATTATCTCAGAAGAGACAGTGATACCCAAATATTATTCTACGGCTATCAATCGTAGCTCACACGGAATCCCCTAGTAAAAGGCGAGGGGATTGTAGAGTTGAGAGCCACGAAGCCGACATGTAAGCCGGTTACGTTTTGATGGTCATCTTAGCAGTTTTGATTTTGTCTTCGATGGCTGGGGCCACGTGGCTACCTTGTCCCTTGACCATGTCCCTTTCTTTAGCCGAGCGAGATAGTCTGATACAAGCAGCTTTCGAAGGTATCTGCGATCGCCTTTTACTGCGTCTCCATTACCAAGTAGTATTCTTCAGCAAAGGATAGAGCGTATAGTCCTTATTCTCATTTTCCTGTGGGCGCCGCTCTACTGGCGCTGGACGGCGCTATAATACAGGGTTGCAGCGTTGATAATGCGAATTACGGTGAGAGTATCCTTCCAGTGACGCTCGCACAAGTCCAGAAACTCACACAGCTCTCAGCTGATACGATCTGCGCTGAACGCGTGGCGATTGTCAAGGCGGTTGTCAGTTCCAACGTTCTTTTACTCTTGCCCCAGCCGCCGCTTACTGATCTCTCGAAGAGCGACGGAATCATGAATTTCCGAGGGCTCGCGGTCACATCGTAAAACAGTTCTAAAAATTATTCTGACGGACTCCGTTGACGACATTTCTAGGAATCTATTTTCCGCGATATCACCATGTGGATTGTGCCGTCAAGTCCTCTGGGAGTTTTGTGGTCCTGACATGCCGGTCCTTCTTGTCCCGGGTGATTATCCTTCTTCCGACGCCAGAGAGACGACTCTGGGGGGACTGTTTCCTTCGTAAACCTAATGCTTGGCAATCGAACATCAGTATGAAGAATGCTCGAGACCTCGCTTCAGACAGCCATATTCGACTGGAAGACACGTTCATTTAGCGTTCACTGGTCCTCTCCTTCTAAATGAAGGCCTTTACCTCTGCACTCATTTATCCACCACAAGGCACAGACAATCGTCTCTAGTCTCCTTCAGCCAGTTCACCACCCGTCTCCAAGTCCCAGCCTTTTCCTTTCCAGAGCGAATTGAGACCGGTAATGTGGGGGCATTTCCCTAAAAACCATATCTTCCCTATTCTGACGTTTATTTTTAGGTTTAATTGAATCTATCAGTACTATCATCTCGATCGTGTGGAGGGCGACATCAGGATCAGCTCTAATAATCGCCATGTAAGCTTTGCGCCGTCCGCAACCAGCCAAGTGCTCGGTGCTCGAGTGCCAAGCACTTCGTCTCTGCTCACTTCCTTGAGGTGTGTCTACCGGGAGCGTAGTCAGCTGTCAGTCGTTCCAACTGCTGTCTCTTTCAAAGTCATGTCATATGACATGTCCCTCATGCAACAGTACTTCACGTGCTAGGATTTCTTCAACCATATGCGCATACCACGACATCGCAGCCAACCATAAGGAATCTCCATGGCGCCTATTACCTACGCGTCTCTCGATCCTTAGTACCTTCGTTCTCTTGAAATGGTCCCATGAATTCTATAAGAATACAGGGGGAGGGGGGGATGTCCGAGAAAGGACGACGGACAATGGTTCCTCTGCTTCCCCTTGTACTGTCCTTCGTCGCTGCAGCTTATGCGAGCCCAGCTCATCATCCCCCTGTGGAGCCACACCCATGCTTCCCAGCCCTCGGGTTCTCGATGCCAGATGCTCTGCCCGAGTCTCTCGATAACTGGTGGTGTCCATACGAATCGGACTACGCATTCGTAGGATTCAGCTACGAGGTCACTGCATGTATGAACTTTTCTCCATGTCATTCCCCCCTTTTGCCTCATCCTCGATCCAGGTCAGAGCCTCAAGCAGCTTAAACGCGAATTCAAGGACATACGCGAGAGGTTCAACGGGCGATACGTGCGCATGTACGGCGCGTGCGACCGAGAGGGATTCTAGTACGCTGTTCCCTCCCCCCATCTATTGGTATCTCTCGTAATAAGCCCACCACGCCCGTAGCGACGACATCATCACTGCAGCATGGGACGCCAACCTCGGCGTCCACGCTCTTGTTTGGGTAAGCCCCCTCCAACCATCCTCCGAGTCGCACGCTCATCCTTCCTCCCATCCTCCTTCTTAGTTCGGCTTCGACGGCTCCGATATCTGGATCTCCCGACGCGACACGCTCCTCGCCGCCCTGCACGCGAACCCCAAAGCGCCCTTCGTCACTCGCGTCTTACAATTCGGCTCTGAGCCTCTTTTCGACAACGTCCTGGATCCTGATGACCTGGCGGAGCAGGTCTGGGAAGCGAAGGCTAATCTGTCGAGTCTGGGGATCCCGGTGACGATTTCGGATATGGCGTATGGGTATCAGGTGAGGGGTTGTTTTGGTGGATGGTTTTGGTTCGGTGAATGATAGGGGTCGCTTCGTAGGAACGCGGGGGTGCCCAGTCGGTGTTGGACGCTATCGACCTGATCGACGCGCATATGCTCCCGTTCTTCTCCCAGCAAGCTTCGACTGGTTCGTTGTTCAGTGTCTTGAGAAATTACTCGGCTGATTGTTGTGACTAGCGAATAACTCATGGCCCATCGTCCTTACCGATTTGGATTGGTACGGGTATCCGTTGTTTGCCCGTTGGTCTGTATTCACGTCTCCGCCTAGGTTCCTTGACAATGGGGAAGGAAAGAAGATATACCTGAGCGAGGTCCGCCTGTTTCTCCCTTATAATCGTTCAAATATCACTGACGCTTACCATAGAACGGATGGCCATCTGTCACCTCCGAAGGCGTGCAGCCCAACAGCCCTTACGCAGTATCTGACATACCCAACGAACACGTACGTCATCCACGACCATCCCTCCCACTACACCAATCCTAATCGTACATCTAGGACTACTACGTCCTGCTCGATTCGCAATGCGAATTCTTCAAGACCGTAGCTGGGGGAGGCGTAGGCTGGTTCGCCCACATCTATTCGGACAACCAGGAGCCTGGATACGGGATCTACAACTCTTCGGGACAGATGAAGTTCGACTTTAGTCCGAGGACGCAGTGTTGATCAAGGAGTATTTGAGCCGTCGTGCCAGTGTAAATGTAGATACTTGTGTAAATTATAACCGATAATCAGGGCTCGAAGTGTTGTGTTTTTTTCTTTGTTTCAGCGAATTGGTAAATTATGACGGTTCACATCATGGCGAAGAGATTCCAGATGAAATCCGACAGTAGGGGGGGGGGGATTCGGGAATGCGGTGGCATGCCATTTGGGAACGATCGGCGAAATTTCCTTGATGAAAATGTAAGAGACTTACTACTGTAAGTTTATAGCTTTTCCTACTCTTGTCCTTGGCGGCGGGTCCAGATGTTGTGCAACTCACTGGAGACAGCTCTGAAGTCTTGTCAATCGGATCTCACAAGATCACTACCCGCCGTACTTTACGTACCTATAAGACGGAAGGTGCCCATCCTGCTAAGAAAAAACTGGCCGTATTGGTACTAATATAAATATTTTGGGTTTACACATGCAGGCCGACTAGCTCAGTTGGTTAGAGCGTCGTGCTAATATCCTAGTACATTAGGTGTGTTAACGCGAAGGTCTTGGGTTCGATCCCCACGTTGGCCAGTTTCTTTGTTCCTAGTTTTTGTTTTTTTGCTGCGCTGGAAATGTGAATGCGCATTGCGCTGTGCATCAATGCCTACCTCCCCGAGGGTTTGTATGCACTGCTATGGTAATTTCCATCTCTCACGTGCAAATTAACATGACTGATGCGCGGATTTTTTCAGCACCTTAATGTTCGCGTTTTTACACTTTTTAAGAGCTGGGTTGGTTTGGAAATGTTGTATATTTATGTTGGTGCAGAAGAAATGATAGGTATGAAAACTTCCTCTAATGAGGAGGTAAGTTACCGGTAATAAACCCAAGTGTAACGAAACCTAGGTTCCCTAGCCAGAGGTGGTTCTACCTTCTGGGTCCCCAGTGGGATCTGGAAAGCTTTGGGAATCTAAACAGCCCACCGCTCACAGCAGCAGCTAACGTGTGGTAAATTCTACAGAGGTATGCTGGTATCATAACATCACCTTATAACGTAGTGGTCGACTATTGATTATGGCCGAGTTCGATCACTGCGTTCATCATACATCTTGAGAGGAGGTGTATTTTCGTTCACTTGCGCCTCGGCTGAGACCCAGAACGCACTTCCAATGCCATGTGGTTAGTGCGCACCCGACTAGTTTACACCAGCAGTTATCAATGTTCCGCTCACCCTTTGTGAGTAGAGAACCTGTTCTTGGCATCCTTTCCGTTGCCGCCTATGACATTAACTCCCGTCAATTAGCCACCAGAAATAAATACCAAAATCCACTGTGTCTAACAAACGATATACGAGACCAGCCGCGCGCTACACGTTCAACAACGCCTCTGCCGCGCGCTTCGCGTTCGCCTTTGTAGCTTCCAACTGGAGCTCGAGGGTCCGAATCTTCTCCCGAGCCTCGCGGAGCTCGGCTTTGAGTTGGGCATTTTCGGGCTGGAGGTGGGACTCGTCAGCGGGTGAAAGGTAAGAAGAAATTACTCACGTCCTCTACGGGGGACACAGATTTAGGTGTGGAGTCTTTCCTCGGAGGGGTGGGCTCCTTGCGCACTGGGGAGGGCTCGGGTTGGGAGTAGGACCTGGACGCGGACATGGGGGGCGCCGACGGCGCGGAAGCGTACGCAGGCTGCGAGAACGACACCGCGATCGGCGCTGGCGCAGGGACGGGCGCCGATGCCGTCTTTGTTGGCGCCGGACTCGAACTCGCCACGGTCTTCCCCGTATCGAGGCTCACCAGCTTCCGCGGCACCTCTCCCCGCCCTGCAAAGTACTCCGCGGCGCTCACGGACGGCTCCTTGGCCGGGGCGGGGGGGTAGATGTCGGATTGGAACGAGCCGGCCTTGCGGGGGACGATGAACGCGATGGGCTCGATGGAGGATCCGTGCACCTTGTATGCGCGCGCGATCTCGCATTCGCTGACGTCGAGGGCGCGCCGCGGGAGGAAACACATACCCCTTTGGGACTCGGAGGATTTGTGCTCGTCGAGGGCGTACAGCGAGGAAGACTCGTATTCGTAGTACCGGATGTTGCCGTCGCCTTTACCAGCTGCGGAGAACTATGAGTGAGGGGAAAGCAGAAACACGAGGTGGCTCACCAAGGAAGAGGATATTGTTGTCGGACCAGAAGGGCATGACGACCCCCGCGCTCTGGTCGAGCGCCGTCGTCTTCTCATTCGCGAGCCCCTGGCCGATATCCCATATCCCGACCTGCCTCTCGCTCATCTTGCTGAACCCAGTCGTGGCGACCTTGCCGAGGTCGCCCATCCACGTTACGCGCGCGCCCTTGATCCCGCCGTGCCCGTCCACCGCGCGCACCGCGTCGCCCCCCGCGCGCGAGTCGAAGAGGCGGAGCTTGCGGTCCCGGCACGTCGTGGCGAGGAGCGCCCCCGTCGGCCCGAACGCGATGCTCTGGATCGTGTCCGTGTGCCCGGCGAGCACGAGCTGCGGGTCCTCCGTGCGCGCGAGGTCCCACAGCTTGACGAGGTGCTCCCCCGAGGCGCTCGCGAGCACGTTCTCCGCCGTAGGGTGGAAGAGCACCTGGCCGACCTTGCGCGGGCTCGCGTCGATGCGCCATACGGGGTCGAAATCCCGCGGGACCCACCCCTCGGCGCCCCACCCGTCGAAGGCCCCGGGGGGGACTTTCCAGATCATGACTTTGCCGTCTTCGCCGGCGGAGGCGACGAGGGCGTCGTCGTGCGGGGACCAGTCGGTGTCGAGCACGGGGGCAGTGTGCGAGCGCGCGAGGGGGAGCGAGTCGGGGAGCTTGTACGGGAGGGAGGGGTGTGCGGCGAATGGGGAGGGGAGCGGGAGGATCGCGAATGCGCCTCCGCCGGATGCGTTCCAGTTGACGGAGATGTACTCTGCGGATGCGGAGATCACGTTGGTGTCCCAGGCGCTGCCCGTCACTTTGACGTTCTCGAAGCCGTAGTCCCTTTTTTTGGCTGGTTGTCCAAAGACGTGGCTGGGAAGAGAGGGATCAATGATAGTTGGCTATAGGGGAGAGAGCGCACCGGTATTTTGAGGCTCGGACGAAGCGAGACATGCTGGTTGGTGTGGTTGCGAAGGTGATGGACAAAAGGAGACTACTGATCGTCGATAGCAGTAGCGCCTGTAAATAAACAGTACAGCCACATCGCCCCTCGGGCCGCGGTGTCCGGAAGTGAAGATTGGATGTGAATAAAAATATGTTGACGCAAAGATTATCGGCGATTTAGGATCAGTGGAATTTAAGGATTATTTGGGGATCCCCAATTATACTAGGTCACCTGCATCTGACTGTGAATGACCAAAATTCACCTACGCATAGGAGAGTTGAAGCTCGCGTCTTGCAACAAGTTCCAGTGGTAGTCGTTGCACTGGCAGCGGTCCCTATCAAAGGAACAGCCGTCATCTCTCCAGATCTATTCTACAACGAATTTTTCGTCATGTGGGTGCATATGGGTTAAAAGGCTTTGATGTCGAAAGCTTTAGGTTTCCCGCAGTTACTGGAAATATGAAGGGAAGGCGGGTATCTCTCCAACCGACGAGAGTGGCCCGAAGAAGCAAGGTTTTGAGAAGTCTACTTTGTGATGTACTTGAGCCTATGGCAGTAGTACTGGTGGTTAACATCCTCTGTTTGTTCAGCTGCCTCCGGAATCGAGTCGTTTCTCTTGGCATCAACATACTCTTCCCCGGATAACGCGTCCTGTAGCTGATCTGAGGACATGCCGCTTCGGATCAACTACAGGACGCGTTATCGCGACCACCGGGGTCCCCTGCGTTGAATGGGATGATATCTTGCCGCATCGATGGGGCTTCACTAGAAAGTGTTGGAAATTCCTCAGATCGTTTATCGTCCCTACTACCCAACGGTCCTGCCGTCTATTCTCGGAGCATTTGATCAGTAACGAACAGGAACGGGTTGTTATTAGTAGTACGGACCTGTCCTTGATGATAAGCATGTCCTGTTACCCCAAGACACGGCTGATATCGACCGACTAATATGAAGACATCGTGAAAGAGAGGATTGACGCAGGATCGTGCAGATCACCGGCATGGATGCCGATAAGGAAGACATTGAACTTGCACAGCCATCATGGATTTTCCCAATCTGGCAGGGGTTGCCGAATTTGCAAATTCCCTTTTTCCTTCCCTCTTCCAACGATGTTCCTCCGCTCGCTCGTCCGTCGTTTCGCGACGTCCGCCACCACCGAACCAGTGCGTCCACCCTCCCAATGCCAACTCTATCCTACTCACCTCTACCCAGTTGCGAAAAACGCCCTTGTACGACTTTCACGTCAAAAATGGGGGGAAGATGGTCCCATTCGCGGGATATTCGATGCCTCTTTCGTACGGGGACGTAGGGCAGGGTGAGTCTCCCCTGCTCCGCACACACACACTGGTGAATCTAACCCGCGCGTTCCGCAGTGGCCAGCCATACCCACGTGCGCACCAGCGTCGGGCTGTTCGACGTCGGCCATATGGTCCAATCCAACTTTCGCGGCCCCACGGCGCAGCCGTTCCTCGAGTGGCTCACCCCGTCCGCGCTGAGCGCGCTGGCGCCCTACTCCTCGACGCTCTCCGTCCTGCTCAACGAGCGCGGCGGGATCATCGACGACACGATCATAACCAAACACGCGGAGGACGCCTTTTATGTGGTCACTAATGCTGGGCGGCGCGAGCGCGACCTAGGCTGGTTCTCCGAGAGAATGGCGGAGTGGAATGGGGGGGAGCGGGCTAGGAAGGAGGGACCGGTGGAGATGGAGGTGCTGGACGGATGGGGACTCGTCGCTCTACAGGGTACCGCCCTCCCTCCCCTCTCCTTCCCTCCCTTCCCCTACTCACACCCCCCCTCCTAGGCCCCCTCGCAGCCACGTACCTCCAATCCCTCACCTCCTTCGACCTCCGCACCCTCACGTTCGGCAAGTCCGCGTGGGTCCCCCTCGACGGCGGGTACACCCTCCACGTCGCCCGGGGCGGCTACACCGGCGAAGACGGCTTCGAGATCTCCATCCCCCCGCAGAGCACCGAGGAGGTCGTGCGCGACCTCCTCGCCCGCGCGCCCGTCCAGCTCACGGGGCTCGGCGCGCGCGATTCCCTGCGGCTCGAGGCGGGGATGTGTCTGTACGGCCAGGATTTGGACGAGGGGACCACGCCACTCGAGGCGGGGCTGGGGTGGGTCGTGGGGAAGGAGCGCAACTCTGCTCCGGGGGGTTTTATTGGGTTTGAGGGCGCGTTGAAGGCGCCGAAGCGGAGGCGCGTGGGTATGGAGGTGGAGGGTGCCCCCGCGAGGCAGGGCGCGAGGATATACGCCCCTGGTACGGACGTCCTTCTTGGGACGGTGACTTCGGGGATCCCGTCCCCGACGCTGGGCAGGAATATCGCGATGGGGTACGTTAGTGTTGATGGGGGGAAGCACAAGAAGGGCGCGGAGGTCGAGGTTGAAGTTAGGGGCAAGAGGAGGCAGGCAAAGGTCGTAGGGATGCCTTTTGTGCCGACGGGGTACTGGCGAGGGTGAAAATGGAAGTTCGTTGTTCCGTCGTCTTAGAGTGTAAGTA